TTTTTTAAGTATTCGACAATATTCTAGAAATTCAAATTACTGTGACTAACCAATTGAGAAAACAGTTAGGGGAATATATTCAGCGACAAGGCAAAAATTAAAAATAAGAGTAGAACAATGTATTTAACTCTCTCTGTAAAAGATCATATTTTTAATTTTAAAAATATTTAAAATGTTTTTCTAAGTGCTTTATTTTATACGATTTTTGTCTCGAAACTTATTCTGTAAATCTTTTAGAGTGAAATCTCCAAAAGACTGAAAATTGGGTCAGACTTTAAAAAAGATTGAAAATATTTTCACCCAGGAAAAGAATTCTTTTGGAATGAGATGTTACTCGTTTGAAGTGAGATTTACTAAAAAAAAAATGAAATTACGCTCCCTCTTGTAAAGTGAAATTTTGTTCCTTGAAAACAATCTCATTCCAAAAGAATAAAAATTTGCTACTTTTTTTCAAAAACTAGCTCGATTTTCACTCTAAAAGATTTAAAGGGCATAAATCGCACTATGTACAAGTCTTTACCGTAACTATATTTACTTTTTTATCATTTAAAATATGCACTTTGATTGTCAAAGTTTATTATGTATCAGCTTGAAATTGTCGTGAAGTTTGTTATTTTGGAATTTTACTTTTTAGTTAATGATGAAAGAGGTGTATATATTGCAGCTGAAATGATATATTCAATTTAAAGCTCGAATAATAAAGTATTGTAATCCGAGAAGCTTTAGTGACAGTAATTTATGTCGCTTTGTTTACTACATTACACAGATCACACATTTACTTTCCTCTACGCAGATGAATGCCCGTTGATCAGGAAACGGAAACATCTCTGATATTACATTATTAACGAAACAACATGCTACTAGCTGAAAAGGCATTCTGATCGCATGCAGTCATGAAATGTACAATGTCATGCGATGCATAGGATAATAGAACTGATATATCTGTTTTAGAATAACAAAATAAATCTGAAGTTATAATATAATATATAGCAAAAATCTATTTCTTCATTTATCTCATAATAAAACAATTCTTTTAATTTATATATAATATAGTGCTAATGTTCAAATTATGTTTTATCTCATAATAATTTTTAAAAAATTACCTACGTTCAGAATTTAACTGACGGATTGGACATAATTTGGAGTTGACATAATTTTCTGCATTATTTGCATATCACATCTTTATATAAATTTCCTAAATATATATAACAATATTAAATATGTACCATTATAATATTTACGATAATTTTACATTTAGACGTGTCTGCAAAGTACTAACGAACACTGTTAACAAGATGTATTGAGTTATTTTGTAACAGTGAGCAACGGAAATATCTGAGAAGTCATACAAGATTAAATAAATGCAAAACTTGCACAAGTTTCAGCAATATCGGATTATGTAGGATTTCAGTGATAAACTCCGACGCGGCGCGGCGCCTTGGCCCGACAGTAAAGCCAGGCACAATCAATCATTAAAAACAGATGGCAGTTGTAACTTGCAATGCTAATGAATGTCTTATAGATAAAAGCGCATTTTCCCAGGCGACAGACGTACAATGAAATATATTCTGCAACTTCGAGAGACAGTAACCCGTCAGTACGCTTTTCTACCGTCTCTCTGGATAATATATTCATCGTTGAATTAGAAATTAGACATAAGAATATTCTATTATTATCTATTATTTTATGAATATTAATATTATATTATATATATATATATATATTTTTATATAATAATATTCTATTATTTTATTAATGTAATCTCTTGTTCAAAAGAACTGATTAGCGTTCCAATAAACTGATTAGTTCTATCAATAACTGATGATATTGCATCAATAATTGATGAAATAACATCAGTTACAGTATAGTTAAACAGTTTATTAAAACTCTAATTAGTTCGTTTTCTCAAGAGGCATTCTATTAATACCAGTATTAAAAATATATTATATTACGTTTCATATCACGAAGAATATGCTTGTTCAATGTCCGATAGACACGTATTTTGTGCATATTACGCTCATGTCAACACATCTCGCATCCAGAATAGAAAAATAAGTAAATTTGAAAGACGAATCTTAATTACAGTAGGAAATAATTACAAACGAAGGTAATGAGACTTCCTGTTAACGATTTGCAGTCTATATCTAACGGACGTAAAGATGCATTTGATATAATTTCCATTCGGATGACAATTATTGAAATTTCCGCAATTTCGTGGAGATCTGATTCAGCTACGAAGTACTGCTAAATTTATGATAACATGTTGCCACAAGTACCGTTACAGGTATAACGGAAACCATGCGGTAACTCAATCAACGAAATTAATGTATAAATTTCCCACATATTCGAGCAAACGAAACCGACTCGCGTTAAATATATACATATCTAATTCACTCCGGAAAATCGTGACTCAATTTGCAAGGAAAATATGTATTGTACGTTATAAGCTCACAATGCGTGGTCCCTTGATTTTTTCGAATAAATATATTTAAAAATAAAAAATTGTACACAGTTTTTTTGACGAAAAAAGAAATATTATGATTTTTTAATATCATATACGTATTTGAACAGAACGGTAGATATTTCTTTTATTTATCTTATTAACTATCCATAAAATGATATTTGTAATGTCAAAAATGTACAAAAATTTAATGTGTGCAAATCCAACAATACTCGCACGTTTATAAAGCTAACGTTGTTTTATTTCAATATCTATATTTATTCACGAAATAATACATGCCTAAAAACGTCAAAGAGATAAAGCGAAGGATATATAGAAGGATTAAGCGAAGCGTGCGGAGATACTTCACAAGCGAAAGCTTTTCTTGTTAGTGTAGTTGACTAATGTAAAGAAAATTTAGACATTTCTATCACTAGCGATTGCACTGCAACTGCCTCTCTCTCTTTCTCTACGAAACTCTAGTTTTGCGGTAATAAAACAAATATTACTGTATAACGAACTTCGAAAAAATTCACAGTCTATAGTAAACATACGATGTAACTGCGTTTAAATGAATATCGAATTACGAAAATGGATTGTTTATAACTCACTGTGGAGAATACGAAATAAGCATAAAATTAATCAGAATTTAAAACTATACATATAATCCAAGATAATGGATATCAATTTCGCAAATACTAATTAATTATAATGTTGCTTTATAACTATATTGTTACTTCCATTTCCATTTGTTTGGACTTTATTAAGAGCCGGTTGTGTTCCACCTTAAATATAAAATGTCTTAGTATATTCGGAAACATATTATAATTGATCGTAGTGCTGGCTAATTTGAAATATTAAAATGTATGTAAATGCATCTCTCACATTTAGTATCAATGTTTCTGATATAATTACGAAAATTAGAATAAATTATGAACTATGTGGTAATTTACCTAATGGACAAAAGAAGAGCAAAAGAGAAAGAAAAAAAGAACGAGAGCGAGAGCGAAAACAAAAAAGCGAATAAGTTAAAATTTATCAAAAGATAGAATAACCTAACCGAGAAGAAGCTCTACATGGCTAGCAGTGTAAGTCAGAGCCACATTTCAGTTTTTAGATCAATTAAGAGAAATAAACTTATTTTCGGTCAAAGCTGATTTTAGTACTTAAATATCTCAGTGTGAATTATTTATATACATATCCAATTCTACAAACCGCGAGCTGAAATCTTTTTCAATCTTGAAACGCAATCGTGAACAGAACTAAAGTAACATCACATATTAAATTGACAAAGCAATTTAATAATATTGATGTCATTAATAATTTGATGCTTATACATATAAACATCTTAAGAACTATGAATAATTTATTGCAAATGAAATATTTAAACACTAAGATCTATATTTTGAAATAGATATATTTATTTTCCTTAATTAATATATTCTCGTTGATTTAATTTCAAATTATAACTGTTCAGTTCTTGGAGTTAAGAAACGTGTATACATGGCTTGGAGAACAGCTCAAAATCTTAGTAGACGGAATCAAAAGACTTGTGGATCGTTACACAAAATATGTTGAAAAGCGATACTATGAAGATATATATATTTAAAATATACATATATTTTGCTGACGTGTATTGTACGTAAGAAATAAATTCACTTTACTTTCCAATTTCTCGTTTTTCATATTAAATCTTTAATATATTTTTGTATTAAATTTTAATGTTAATTAATATATACAAATTACATTATTGAGAAGCAATATAAAATGTCTTAATATATTCGGAAACATATTACAATTGATCGTAGTGCTGGCTAATTTGGAATATTAAAATGTATCTCTCACATTTAGTATCATAATGTTTCTGATATAATTACGAAAATTAAAATTCGCAAATGAATTAATTATCATTCATAAATTATACATATATATTGTACTCTGCTAACCAAGCTTCCAAATATATTGCAACCGCATGAATAGTAAATTGTAATAACAGATTTCACCGCGATAAAACACGAAAATTCGAAATACGACAAATTGAAATGTAGAACGAGGAAGCTCGTGATTAATTTGTCATTTATATATTCCGACGGCTACAAGCTGTAATTGCACAAGATATATGCAAGTTTTAATAGGCAGTAATTCCAATTCCATAATGAGCGTTCAGAATATGTTTGATAATTGGTGGACATAATAAATTAACACCTGCAGTACTGATAAGCCAACGGCATATAAATGTTGCTGTATTTTAATTTTATCTTTTAAATAAATCAAGGAAAGCAAACGTCATTAAGTATACATCTGCCATGTAATATTTTCTGTCATTTAAGTCATATTTCAAGCAACATTTGTAATTGTATTTTTTTCTCCTCAATGCAATTATACCTCCAAAATTTACGTAATCCGAATATATCATCACATTAACTTCCTTTTGTTTTATTTAGAGCACTTACTTCAGCAATTCACTGTTAAGACTTTGATCTCTTGTTTTTTTGAACTTCTAATTTCAGCTACGATTTCTGTGATTGTACATTTTGTCACTCATCGTTTGGCTTTCTAGGTCGTTGATAATTAACAGTAGAACTTCAACCTAGGCGCATTAACGTCACACGATTAAGAAGCCACGACACCAATGACAATGCTAGGCTCAGAACAACGCCAGTGAAAGATGGTGGACAAAGAAGAGCTGAGAATAACGAAGGCGAAGGCCCCACCACCACCGCTGAATCTCAGTGAGGCGATCGAGGATGAAGTGCTGAACCAAAAGACTGCTAGAAGTGAGTAAAGTACCGCATCTGCCTCATACAAAATGTGCTACGAAGCGTGCAAAGCTATCTCGGCAATCCTAAGTAAAATGTGAATATATGAGAAGTGAAAAATGAAATTCACGTTCTCCATTTCCCAAGATTTACGGAAAAACCGGAAAAATCACTCATATAGGTTAAAGTACTAAATTTCTTTTAACTAATCATTTTTTCGCAATTTCCGCTTTCTTCAAATAAAACAAACTTTTGTTTTTACGATGCAATACTATATAATCACTTATTATATCATCAAAACAACAGAGGGCTTTATTATAAATGAAATAAATATACAAATGTATTTATATATTTATTGTTTGATGAACTTAATGCAGAAACGATAATCGTAGTATATAATATTATACGAAGATCGTTTTAATCACTTTCTTAAGTACATAGATAAGATGAAGATAATTTCTTTGAAGCAACTGCCGTGTGTATTTTTCGCCATGCTTGGCCTGTTTATTTAAAAAAAGAAAGCAGGAGAAAGAGAAAGAAAGAAATTAATAAATACACTTTTGCGTAATTAAAAAATTGTTTGCATATTTTTCTGCTTTGCTTTTGTAAACTATACAGTCTATTGACATGCAGTCGCGCGGAAATAAAAAGATATTTAATTTGCATTGGACATTCGCGAAATCAACCATTCAACTAATTAACGACACAGCATACACACTCCTATATTTCATCCCCACTTTTCTTCATTTTACTACAATTGCACATGCGGTCGATATCTGTGCGGACCGAAACGTGTTTTTCCACAAAAACAGTGTGCATCAGGTAACAACAGCATGTGCTACTACGTGACTGTCTAAAGTTAAAATAAAAAATCAGTAACGCGCACAAGCGAATTAATTGAATCCGTATTATTTCGCGTTTCTCGTTTAAGATCATACTTTCGCAAAAACCGTTACAAAGTGGTTGAAAAATTAATCCGCATACATCTATGTTGTATAAAAAATACGATTCAATATATATTTTACAACCAATATAAAAAAAGTTAAAAAATAGATCTCTCTAGATCTATATTACATAGGTATAAAAAAAATGGTTTGACGTATTTTATAAAAAAAAAAAAACATTATAAAGGGATAGAAAAACGTTAAGCTGGAAAAGTCAGTTGACGTATTTTTTTTATATAAAGATTAAAATGAAATTATTTTATAATAACTTTGTCTGAAAAATTAATGTAATAATATTGCAAAATAATTCATATACTTTAATTGTGCAATTATATATAGGTACTACATTTTATAAATATTATGTACATGAATACACATTATTTATTTTACACTTTTTTCTACATTATGTTTTTTGTCAGTTCTTAAGAATGATCTCCTTCTACACGAGGCTGTGATAAAGAACGAAGCGGACACTGTTCGTAAAGTACTTAAGGAGACTGTCGACGTAGATTCCAGAAATAACGTAAGTCATTAAAAATACTTCAAAGAAAAATGCACAGAATGCTATTCAATTTAACGTCTATTTTATTTTTGACAAATTTTTTATTTAGTATCATTAAGAGCGACAAGCGCTTCTAATATTTATTATTAAAATCTCCCCTAGTATGGTCGCGCTCCGATTCATTGGGCAGCATCTAGAGGAAACACAGAAATTATTGAAATGTTAATACAAGCCAAGTGCGATATTGAAGCGAGAGACAAGGTATGATATATTTTTCCTTTTTCTTTTTTTAATTAGTCTGTTAAAAAGAGGGAGCGATGGGGTTCACGAAATAACTGTAAATTGAGACAACAAAATAAAATATAAACATTTCCTCGTAAAAAAGAAAAAATCTTACACGCAGAAATAAAGAGCCTTTATTAAATTTAATATCGTTGAGTGTTGTGGAAGCACTCCACATAGGAAATTAATGTAAACGTAGGGACTGATAAATGGCTACTTTATTACATTACACATTATACGTTAATACGTTTTTGGAGCGACACTTCTTTCGGAATTTAATCTAGAGACGACGACCGACTTGATGAAATTCTTCGTCGGACATTAATATCCCGACTGTTCATTTCTCTTTCAAGTATGGAATGCGACCCTTGCATATGGCCGCCCAGCACGGTCACCGAGATGCAGTGAAGATGCTGATCAATGCCGGAGCAAATGTATCCGCGATTAACAAGGTAATCATCCTTTGACAATCGCTTCATTAAACATTTCATATGAAAGTAAATTCAAGCTTTCCCTTGAGATAAAATTTACGACTTCGTAAGTGTCGCGAACTCTCTACGAAATTTGTTAAGCATATACGAAACTTGCGCGAAATATTGCGAAAATTGTCGTGTGAAGAAAACTTTATTTAGATAACGAGGAGATTTAGATCAAATAATTTTCAAAAAATGTTGCCCAACGAAAATTTGCAGAACACGCTGTGTAGGATTAAATCGTACGTTTAATTGGAGTTTATTGATCGCGGATATTGTGGAAAAAGGAAATATTGAAACAGAAATCTCGCGGAGGTCGTGAAAAAAAGTGAAATAAGTCGCCGGGAAACCGCAGCGGAGTTGAAATCAATAACGTGTCAATATTGATATTGGCATCAGTCTTAAATAATAGGTGAGCGCTTTCACCATGCCCCCTCGGCGCGTCGCATATAGCATTTTATCACGCACGTACCGACACGAAGAAAATGAGAGACGTGAATTATAAGAGAACCGACGCACACGAAGGCAACAGCGGTCCATATTTTCCTTTGCGGATTGAAATTATGAGACAACATTACGGTGTGAAAATCGCAAATTTACCTTCGCGAAGGTTCTCCTTTTATTAATAGCATAAAAATTATTTTTTTTCTTTCCGTTTAGAAACAACACACCCTTTTAATGTGCGGCGCTCGTGGTAGCAACGTCGCCGTAGTGGAATACTTGGCGGATGCAGTGGAATCGTTAAACGGTGAGGCAACTGACTCCACTGGGGCGACTGCTCTTCATCATGCAGCCATCACCGGACATCCGGCGGTAATCACAGCGCTTGCCAACATCCCGCGGATCGTGTTAGACACCACGGACAAGGTAAGCGAAAATGTTCCCTCATTTTAGTACGTCACTTCTACACGAACATGCTAGTTACATTTCACAAAAAAAAATAATTTAGATGTGCAGGAGATTCTTTTTATTCCATCTCTTTCTAACAGAAAATCATATTATTTCGTTGGTTTCTACAGAAACCACGGAAACAACCTTTCAAAAATTTTACCGTATAAAGATATCGTAGAGGAAATATATAGATTTTATTCAAAGATAAAAGATGGATTCTGCCTGACATCAAAGAAACTCAAGAAGTCACGGTAACTGCTTCGATAGTTGTTACTAAAATGTAGCGCACAACACACACACATACATACACATATAAATATATTCATAGTTCGAATTACATTTAATCATAATCGTCCAAGAAAAGATACTTTCCACGATTCTTATATCAATTAAATAAACAAATAACATAATAAATGACGATTAATGTATCTCTGGTTACAAGATTGGATGATATATCAATGTACGCATCACGTGCATACCGAAATGGACCAGATATGTCCTTGCGTATATATGGGCGTATTTCGGCCTTAGTTTCTCGAATTTCGCGTTGCAATTTGCAATGAGATATTCCACACTCGGAAATCTGATTCCCACCATTTCGCCCAGATTCGGCGTATATACATACGTGTATAGTACATATAAAATATATGCATGTATGTGTGTCCACAATATATGTACATACCCATACAGCACCAAACTTCTAAAAACGTTCATAAGAACATTTTAAAAATGTACAAATATTCTTAGAACGTTCATATACGTTCTATTAATGTCGTGTGCTATCTGAGTATATATATATATATATATACATAATATACACACACATACGCGTGTGTATCTTAAAGGATCCTCGTCCATCTATCCATCCATTAACATCTTAGTTGCCCAAACTTCTCTTGCGAAAGTTCTCTCACGTAACAACCAGTCAAAAGTGCTTCCATGTAGGAAAATTAGTTACGCGATCGCAACTATATATACAGTTCTCTCTCATAAATTATTAATTATTTGTCTCTCTCAGAAAATATTTGCATACATGAATTATGCGCAATTTTATGCATCCCATCCATCGCTTGAGAATCACAGATTAATTGCCTATAACAATATTTTGAAGCATAATTTCACCTTTAAAAGCAGTAATTATTTGTAAAATAATGCAGAGATGCATTTAATGTAAATGCAACGCTTTTAACGAAATTATATAATTCTTCGCGGGCGAGTTCAAAATAAGATATTTGTTCGATTTAGCTCAAATGACGGTCAATTAGTGTTCAATACAGCGTCCTATTAGCCGTAACGTTCAAGCAAATAAAAATTCATTATCTTTTAGCTGTAACATTCATTCAATGTATCTAGCAGAAATCGTATATAAAGCGGATTTCGGAGAGAGAAAATCCGCTTTCTGAATCAGTTATCACTTGACAACTCGTTTTTCCGATAAATCATTCGTGCAATCAATCCTCGTATGATCTCTCTCTCTCTCTCTCTCTCTCCCCCCCCCCTCCTCCCCCTCTTCCACCCCCTCTTCTCGCTATTTCCTGGATGCCGGTCTCCTATGATTTTGATTCCTACGTGCACCGCAACGACGATAAGCATTTGTCCACAATCCGGGATCAGGCTTGACGTTTGTGACCCGAGCGCTCTCTGGAACATCTCAAGCTGCTTTCCTGCAGAGAATATTGTTGTAGCATCCTTATAAGCACGTTTGGGACATGCTTAAAAACTTTGTTGATCTGGTCCTTTATACATCGACAATGTGTGATATATAAATATCAAAAAACAAAGCTCGCGATGAATGGAAAGGAAATTTTTTCGAGATATATTTCGTTCGGAGGCTGTAACCAAGCAACTATCATGTACCTAACAAAAATTAACGATCGAAGCCGAGCTTCAACAGAATTGATAAATTACATTAAATTAAATTATATCATTATTTGTTTATGCTATTATAAATTATATATTATATTGCGATATATTAAATCTCTCTCACGCAAAGATATAAATCTCTCTCTCTCTCTCTCTCTCTCTCTCTCTCTCTCTCATTTTAATGATTAATAATTAAAATTAAATTCACGTATCTGAAAAACAGTGAAAATGCATCAAAAATTGTACAAGAATAATAGCCACAGTGACTCGGCCATGGAGCAGTGCAGTATCGATCGCGGGGCGAATGAAGACACAAAAGAGGATATTTATAATTTATCGACAGGAACAATCGACCGTCCGTTTAACGCGCACGGTGGTAAGAGGAACCGCTCGGATTTCCGCATGTGTAGTCGTATGTGTATATACGCTCGCAGGTAGGTCAGAGCGCGAGCGCATCTCTCTCTCTCTCTCTCTCTCTCTCTCTCTCTCTCTCTTTTGATTTAAATTCTGGGAAAATGGGTCTCTCTCTTTCTCTTTCTCTCCAGTGTCGACTGCCATAGCATCCTTATCGAGAGGCAAGCGCAATCCCCTGAGGGCTTTCGCGACTGTGAAACTCGACCAATCGCCAGCTTGAGTACATTTTACGGAAGCCTTTGTAAACAGACCCTCACCTCCCCGTATTCTGGACACTCTTGCTGTCTCATTCAATTTACTCGCGTATCCCTTCTCGATTTTCCTCGTTGCCGCGTACGGAATTCTAATTTCCCTGAGATAGGCACGGCACGGCGCTCCGTCTTTATATGCCACGCAAGTTGCCACGTATCGGTTAATTATTTTTGGGTTATCAGTTACTTACATCCCTCCAAAAATATTGATGTAATGCCGATTTAAAAAGGACTATAGAATCTATTAGGATAATTGTGAATAATGATAAGCGCGCGTATTAATATTTTCTATAAATAATGCAATTAATTAATCTCTATTTCTAATTTTGTGATATCTATTAAGCTATTTTCACCCAGTCAATAAGATTGTTAGATGTTGTTATAAATAATTTGTAATGACATAAATTTGTAATAAGTTCACTTCCGATGTTACACAATGTTAGATCATAAGTGTAACAAATATAATGAATAATCTAACTGCTAACAGAAAGAAACAAGTCATTATTGGAATTGAGACTATTATATCTAGAATTTGTAAACAGCTGTGTTTAACATCCTGTCACTGCCTAAAGTTTGTAAAATGTAATAGTCATATAGATCACGGAATTTACGAAAAATATTACTCTTAAATTCTACATGGTTTTCATTCGTTGAATAAACGTTCCGCAAAACAAGAAAAACCCAAATAACATGTTTTTCTAACATTCACTGCAGAAGGTATAGAGAATATATCGTATAAAAATGTTGCATTCCTTTTTACGCAAATATTATTGTTCAATCGAAAGCTCCAAGTAGTTTTCACAGAAAATTATTTTTATTTACATTTAAAAATAATCTAATTGATGTGCATACATAAAAAGAACTTTTATTAAAATATCTAAAAATTTAGCTAACTACAAATTTGAAAATTTTATAGAACTATTAAGATAATTATTGAACTATCAAAATAATTATTGAACTATTAAAATAATTATTGAACTATTAAAATAATTATGTAAAAAAAGTGAAGCATGATGAATAATACTGTAAAAATTGTGACATTGTAGCGACCTTATCTTAAGCGTTCTACATATACCTAATTACATCCTTCGATAGTCCAATATAAAATTATTTTCAAATCTATGTCTGGCTGAATTTTCAATACTTTAGCGTACTACTTTTTCCGTGTAAGTATCAATACTGCAACATGAGAATGACCTATATCGTAAATACGAGAAAATTGTGATAATCGCGTACTCTTTTATAATAAATATACATGTCAAAGTTTCAAGCACCAATTGATTTTCCTAAATCTGGATTTATTTCCAGAAAGGACAAACACCGCTGCACTGTGCCTGCGCCAAAGAGCACTTGGACGCGGTTGAGGTCCTTATAGGATTAGGGGCGAATGTAGATGCCCACGATAACGATGGCAATACCCCACTTCACGTAGCTACTAGAACGAGGCACACAGGAATCGCGCAATTATTATTAAAGGCCGGAGCGAACACCGAGCTAATTGACGCGGTAAATTGAATAGTTGAGCGATTACATCTACTTAACGAAGATGAAGGAAAAACAACTTAATGGGATAAACGAAATTACACTTATAAACCCATATTAACAGCAATTAAACATGAATATTAATTTTTTGAAATAACTTAAAAATTTAGAATAACTCCTACAGCGAACTTATATTTTTACTCAGCGTACTTTCTTCATATTCGTTTAAATGAATTGATATAATTCGTAGAGAAATATCGTATAACAACGGATTTATATTATTTATATCGCATTATTTTATATCGCATATTTCATATTATAGTCATTATTTCGTACGATTAATCTATATCAACTATCTCTCCAGGAGGGTTTTACTCCCCTTCATGTCGCCGCAAGTCAAGGATGCAAAGGAATACTCGACTCCATGATACAGCACGGGGCCGATCTTAACAAGCAGTGTAAGGTACAGATATATCTCGGTATTTTCAAATATAATCCGTGCCGAGACTACCGTATGCACGACAACGAACAATATTTTGTCGAGGAATTGTTATGCATAGAAATATCTCGATATTCGATCGCAAACACGCAATCGCAATGCGATGAATAAAATTAATTGACGGGAAGAAAAAGGGACGCAAAAGAATATATACCGGGACAAAAGTACATTGCACAAATTGTGCGAATTTTCTTCATTATCTGTTGCAGAACGGCAATACACCTTTACATCTGGCCTGCCAAAACAACGAAGTAGAAACGGTAGAGATATTAATTAACAAAGGCGTCGACCTCAATTGTTTGAATCTGGTATGTAAAACGTGAACTACATTGTGTGTACTCATAACAACATTGGCCGACAAAATTTTATGTATCTTATATTAAATTGAGTTGATAGGGTGTTTCTTATAGTATTTTTTGCGCTGATTTCATATCTGTCTGCCAAATTTATGAGAGCACAGTTTTGAAGCAGCATGTATTTAAAAATTATTTTATTTTTTTGTCTCTTCTGCTTATATAAATAAATGTTTTACAGAGAATAATTATAACTGAATTTAATATAATTTTTTACTCATTAAAAGACTTCAAATAAAAATAAATTTTAATTAAGAAAAAGACCTTACAGAACAAGCAATTCAAACTGTATAAGTATTTAAAAAGGGATATATCATAGTTAAAAGATTGAAGCTCATAGGATAAGTTTTAACCTCTTTTTCAGAATCAATATCAGAAAATACATAAAAATCAGCCAAAATTACTCAATTACCAAAATCATTATCAATCCGTATAATCATCGTGACATTGCACAGCTTGTTACTGCAAGCAATATTACACTTGCCGAAATCTTCAGGCCGAAATTAAAATTTTTACAACTACATACGATATCGGAAAACTTACAATAACAATTGTTTGATTTTTCCATTTTCTATCGATTTGCTTTAGAGGCTTCAATCATCCATACATATCGCGGCTGAGATGGGACATACGGATATTTGCGAATTACTTCTTGCGGCAGGCGCAAATATTGAGCAGAAAGAACAGGTAAATACATCTATGTAGTTTAGAGATAATTGGATATTATCGTGTTATATCCTTTGACGATATAATTAACCGAATCCGTTTGTGTTCCATAATATAAACCATATTATCGACGCTTGACTAAATTTATGGCCATTGCCATGTTATCAAATAAATTGCCATGAATTTAGAGCTTGCGTTATGATAGAATTATAACAATACAATCAAGCACAAATTATTCAATAGTCAATTAAACTTTATTCATAAATTAATTACTGAATTCGTTTAATAATTTAAATCGCAGTTTTTACAACATGCAAGAAAGTTCAAAAGATGCGAGAACTAATTAAAAAGAAAATCTAATTAAATCTTCGTAAAATGATGAAATATGTTATAAATACTAACAAGAGTAACTGTTGAATGTTGCTTGTATTACATTCTTTGATAATGTGGCTTAATTAAAAGTTCTGCTTTAATGGTGACCTCCTACATTGCTTTAAACCCAATCAAGATAACGGTTCATTACCACAAGTTTATTAGGAATCAAGATTATTCCACATGAACAAATTAAACTAATATCGACAAGTTAATTATGAAAATGTTAATGGAAATTAATGAGAGTACCTTATACTCACAAAATAACGCAATTTTTAATGACTTGTTTCTCAATATGTAGTAAATGCGAAAAATATTTATGCAAGGAAATTATTTTTTTTAAACTTTTAAAAATCTTATTTATATAAATATTATTTAAACTTTTACAATTTTTTAAAATCTTATTTTGAAAAAGTAAAATTAAGTAGCAATTTATTAACAAAAAATAAAATAGACTATATTTCTTAAAATCATTTTACTTAAAATGATGTGTAATAATTAAATATATATATATATTATTTTTAAATATTTAATATAATTTTTTTAATATATTATTTTAAAAATAAACAAAAATAAAAATTGTTTGGATGTACAAATAGTATTCGTACAGTTGAAAAATTTAGCTTTTACAATCAGGAACACGTGAAACTTTTTTATTTATATTAGGACAAAACTTATTTACGTAACTTTTGCATTTTCTGTATGTATATTTTATTTCTTGTAACTTTGTATTTTGTACGCTACGAAGAATGCTGTAAAAGATTCAATCTTAAGACACAGCTCTAATAATATAACATCCCACTCTTGATTAACACATTGAACGAAAAGTCTGTTGCGCGTGCACAGTACGAGAGAAACGTCGATTCTGTCGACAATGTTACACGTGCCATGAGAAATTGACTCGCGCTATTTGCAGAAAGCTCCAAACATCTTATTCCTGATCCAGCGTGCTACGGTTAACGCGATATGGGTGCGGGATTGACGGCAACCGTCGCAAACTTGATAATAAAGTTAAACCGAAGTTTATCCTGACATTTGCAGAGCGGCCGAACACCACTTTACATTGCGGCAAGGGGCAGTTTCACAGCCATCGTCGACATGATCATTAAGACCGCTAGATTAGATTATCCGACCCCGGTAGGTACACATCCACCGTACCTACAAGAATTTCGCTTAACGTTGATCGTTTTCCCTTTCACCTCGTGTCTGATAGACGCCGCAAACAAGATGATAACAAAATACAGAATATGTGATATCAACTGTAGTATCTCGTATATTTCAATCACAAAAATTGTTTATTTTCAATTTAAATTTGTTCAAATTGTTTATGACGTTTATATTGTATTAATTATTCTATGAAAATTTTATATTGCTTCAAATATTGTTCCAACAAAAGGCACAAAATTTGTGCGAGTCTAAATTTTGAAAGAAAAAAACGAATACGTGTTTTTAATCATTATTCATATAGCACAGATCAACAATATTACAGCAATATTATTAACATTAGCAATATTGCAATAACATTGTAATATTGTAGCAATGTTGTTAGAAGCTTTTGTGCTGCATGAATACATTCTACTTGTTCTACATGTGTTTAAAATAAAATCAAATAAAAAAATTGGACGAGAATGAAAAATTAGATTTAAGGAGATTTAAAATTCTAACAAGGAGGTTCGAGAATTGACTCCGGCACGAAGATGGTGGAGGGAAGGATCGCGTGGTGGCAGCATCTCTAGCAATAATGGTCGCCTCTCGGAACAAATCCGATCCATTCTTTGGAAGTTGGCCTACAAGCAACTTGCCCCTGAAGATTGGAAGAAATTAGCTGTTCACTGGGCTTTCACCCCTGAACAGATCAGAGCTATCGAACATCAGTATACGGGTAAATCGATATTATGTATCGTAATATTAGTCTCTCACCGCAATTTGTTTACGTTTCTCAGAGAAATATCAAAATTATTTGTTTAGTTTCATATATATCGATGCATATCAGAAAGAAAAGAATTGATTGGTTCATTTTTTTATGCATTGTGCGTTATACATTCCGTGCTCCCCCCCTTTATAAATATGCATTCATACAACATAAAATAAAAATGACTATCGTAAAAGTTAGCTAGTTAATAAGATAAAAGTTAAGTAAAAAATTAAAATGTTAACAGCTTTAACTTAATTTAGTTACTCTTTAATTTATGAACTTTTTTCTTTTTCAGTTAAAATTCTTCTTATCTGTAAACGTCTTTATGGGAAATATTATTTACATAGGTAAAATACTAAACATCAGTTTTTTTATTATACAAGAAATATCTTTAATATTTCGTATAATTTACAGATAAAATATTAAATTAATCTGATGATTTACTATACTGTAATTATTTTATTATTTAAAGTAATGTAATTTGAAGAAAAATTAGGATATTCTGATTCAATAAAAAAATAACGTTTTCTAAAATTAACTTTATTTGAGTTAATTCAATCTTAACGTAACTTTAACTGAGTTTTTGTCCGACTTTTAACTTATATATATTAATTTTGTAAGTCATTAATTTTAACTTAATTTATTAAAAAAAAACATTGACTTACTCAACCCTGCGTAAAATTAATTACGGATTATACGTGCGAATTTGTACCTCAATGTTCCTATAGTGCGTCTAGAGCAGCCTTATGAAAAGGACGATAAAGCTCCAATTATAGGTCCCGCGAGTTTCAAGGAGCACGGATTTCGAATGTTAATGATCTGGGCCTCCGGATTAAATCCAGACGTGCCACTGATAAAAGAGCTCTGTGAAGCTTTATCAGCGGTGGACAAGAAAACAATTGCTGGTATATATTTATATATAAATCCAGTATACATTCTATTCCGGTATATTTATACGTACAGCATATACGAGTATAAATCCGTTTCTTATTACTATTGTTATCCCATTGTTATCTCAACAAACTCCTTACTACGCGCAGTAAAAATATCCCTTATTCGCAAGGATAGCAATGGATTACAGCGCGGCTGACGTTTATAGAGATAACAATAACAATCGTAATACATAAGATTGAATTTCATATAGAATAGAACTTTCTGCAACGAGATTCTATTTGCTTTCACTCATTTTGCAGATTCCATTCGTAAACAAATGGAGCAGGGAGATGATGGTAAGGTAAAATCGAAAGGGCAACGATGTCATAAATGCTCCATTGCGTGAATATCTACAAGTGCCAAGTTCACACGCAAATTCTACACACATATGAGAACGTAATCTAAACGAAAATTATAATTTACGACGTAAGACGTAATAGTTATTGTCGAAAGCTTACCTGCATTTTAATGAGAAGAGTTCAACGAACTTGGCAAATGCCATTAACGAAGGATTTACGAAAAAACAAAAAAAATACGTACAATGTTGTATAAATACCTTTTGTACCAACAATTCGCAATGTTACGCAAATTCTTAGGACACGAATTACGAGTACAATTTACGGTGCAGGTATAGCTATCACTATCATTTTGAAAGAACAAGAATTTCTTAATAAAATCAGGTATGTAATTCAACAGTGTATATTGATATACACTAATTTTTTAGTCAAAATTTAATGTTTAAATCTAACTTAACGTGAATAAGATTTATCTTAAATAAAACTATAAAGTAAATTATTGATGTTATTATGCATATAAAAAATCATGCAATTTAAAAATCCGAAGAAAATGAAATTCATAATAAATTATTACTTCTTAATAAATTGGACCAGACGGATTGCATAATCGTATCTTATTGTATTGTAGAAAAATTGATTGAAGGTTGTAAGTACATACAGTAGCTTCACTCACCGTAGAATAAAAATTCTATGAACCCGCTATATCATCGCTGGGTTAAATAATATCATTTACCAAATTAAAGACGATAGTGTAAGAGGAATATCATTTACACAACGCGACGACAGTGAAGAAGGTATTTGAATTATATACAAATAATATGCAAAAAATGGATAGGGTCCAACAATGAACCATGTAAACTTCAGAGCCTTATATCTCTTTCAATTATTGAATTGAAGATCTGAGTTTTGGCATACAGTTTATGAACATAGTTGGGTACATACTGTAAGTATAAACAACCACTTTTAAGTCATTTTTTAATTTAGCTACAATTTCGATTATTTAAAAAATCGGGAAGTAGTTCATTATGCACAAGTGTACACAATGAACTATGCTATTATTAATAATAAACTACATGTTTTATATTGCGAATTGTTGGGATTATTTTAGTTTTGCTATATTTAAAAATGTTTATTTATAAAACAGATAATTATAAGGTGGTGAGGAATCACAAGACAGCATTTTTTTTTTCGTTTTGAGTGAAAACGCGTCAAATGAGTATATTTTTATTGAGATTTTAGGTGGGGGGAGGAGCCGTATTCTAAATAATTATTACAATGAATTATTATTTTGAAGGTATCGTAAAAAAGATTATGTGGTCTACAATATACCATGGTTCATTGTTCACTACGTCAAAATGATTCATTGTAGACCACCTAATTTTTCTACGATAATCTCCTAAATAATGTGATAAAACAATATAACAGAAAAAGTTGCTTACAGAATAATAAAGCCTAATGTGCACACAAAACTATTGCACAATGAAAAAAATGATAGGCATAATAACAAAAACATAAAAAATACGTAAAGCTACGAAAAAAACTTACTTTGCAAAATTCTTTTAAATGTGACATTACATGGCCGTCCTTGGCGCGATCTGCCAGTCGATTGGGGAGCCGAGAAGGGGTTCAAATGCGAGTCGCGCCTGCATGATAGCAGCACAATCTGATAACGTCACATTCACGAAATATCGCAATAGTTCATAGTGTACTACTGGTTCACTGTTGGACTACCTATCCTACTTAAAACGGAGTATTTGAACAATTATATGAAACCAAGCCGTCCTAAGCTAATCTTAAAGCAGACTATCATTTCGTTTTGATGATTCTTTTATAGAGAAACTCCGTTATTCATAGAAACAAAAGTACAGTTAGTACACAGAAGCCATCGAAAAAAGCGATACAATTGTAAAATCAAAGTAACAATCGAACGTAGACTCTTCGGAATAATATTAATAACGCATAGATTAAGTGTGAGAGTAAATTTTGCAAGGCTTTCGATGTGATAACAGTTTATTAGATTAGATCTCGAATAAAGAATATAATATAAAATCGATAAATAGATATGCGATTATCGCACGATTCTCGAAAGAGACAATCTACATATCTGAAACTTACAAATTTAGACTCTTAACTACGAACTACATTATATGTAACTTTATCTTGTATTATGCAAAAATTATATAAACTAAAAATCATGAAATTTTTGATTACATTAAATCAAATGCATAATAATAAATTTGTAAGAAAGAGGAAGCAAATTATCTCCTCTCCATCATATTTAGCTTATATAATTTTATAATATTGACCCTACGTGATTAAAAAATATCAAGAATAATTAAATACGAAAATACTTTTCCTGCATTCTATCGAATTTTCAATTTTTTTATAAAATTAAAATAGTTATTAACAAAGCGATAATACGAAAGAAAATATAGATAAGTATTATAAATACTTACCGCATGGATTAAAAAAAATCATGGACTTCCGAAGCTGCTTTCTGAAAGTACGTTTTACAACAATGTACATATCTTATCTTGATGTAATAAATCGTTGTATTCTATATATCGTCATGTTATTGTTGCAAACATTATATAAATTATAAATGTATAGAAAAATGTAAGACTTTTATAAAATTAGAATTTGTAATAAGTTGCACTGACAAATTAGTTCAATTTTTCTGGAAAAAAGCATTAGTATTTTTCGCGTGTTTTGAAATTACAAACAGAAAACCAAAGAAAATAGGACAAAGTAGGATGTTGATTAAGATAATGTGATAATTCATAAATAACTGACAACTCCAAGCGTTTCTATTAAAATGTGAACGTTTATTAATTCATTCGGAATATTAATTACTCTATAAAAGAATGTCGCTAGCTTCTTAGTGTTCACAGTATATAACAAAATACTATAAACAATAGTATAGTATTAGAGTGGTGAATAGTAGAAATGGAGATGGTACTATCAACACAGCAGTCGTACCGCGACGGATTATTCCGTAACTCTTTAATCAATATTACAGACGTTACACAACCGTAGCCTAATGCGTGTCTTCCTTCGTTGTTGCGAATCTCCAAGGTCTCTTTCGAAATTTATTTCGCAGAGGTACGTATGCCGGAACGCACGCTCATCATGAAATATAAGTCAATACGCATCTTGTAACGCATTCGGACCCCTACATTCCTGACCTTCTATTTGACAATAGAATGTATTTTATGGTTGTACATGTATAAATGTATCTCCGTCTATCTAAAACACTACTCTTAGACCACTATCGCAAATTTTAGTAAATACGTTTGGCTTTTTGACCTTATGCTATTTTTTGCTGCAGGACAATCCGTGCTAGCTCCATTCGTTATAACATCTTTGCAAAAGATCTTGAAATAACGGTGAGAGAACTATAAAACAAATGTAAATCCGAATATGCTTTGAAGATATCAAATTAAAATGCATATATTAGATTTTTTTAATTTCTCTATTCAATACACTCTGACGCTTCCCGAAAGCAATTTCAAAAAAATAAATAATCTAGTAATATATATTGCGCAAATAAATACGTTCTCGTTAATAACGTCACAGACGACAGTGTTAATTTCCTTATAAATACAATTTCAAATTTGAGAATCGGAAAAAAAAATTACTTCCGAATGCTGAAATTTTTAAAGCGAGTAGTAAACTACATACGAAAAAAAGGAAAAAGGTATCGAGATCATATCAAATGATCGAGTCATGTCTGTGTGCTCGCAATGAATTAAACTTTACGCGCATTTTTTACTTTTCTGTTACCTCCATAACCCTTACGTCATCCAATCAATAAATTGAACATGACGTCTAGTAAATAAACTTCCTGCGGTAGAAATCGAAAAAAGAAAGTATCAAGTTCTATATTCTAACGCTGTCGTCGCGCGCGCGATAATTATAAAACTGGAAAAAAACCAAGAAAATACACAAAAGGGAGAAGAAGCGACAATTTGATCGTCCGCAAATGAAAAAACTCGGAAAAGAGACGGTAGGATAAACACTGTCGCTGAGAATGAACCTAATAATTGAGGATCGAGTCGATTTGTCCCACACACACACCCCCCACCCCCCCAAGTACAACACATAAATAAAAAAAAGATGTTATCCTTTTGAAGTCCTTTAACACGATAAGGTCTTTTAACATGGTGACTTGTTATCCATTTTTGACTGATCATTTCCTCATTGTTTTACGACACTTTTCGATTAAGGATGAAGACGTGTTATTTTGTTATTTCTTACACTAATCGACACTTATCCGCAGTACAGTTCCAACTTAACGTGCATCTCAATCCGTGATCGTGCATCAACGTTAATATTCGCAAGCTATTTGGCCTTTTCGCCTGCATCTTGGACCAAATGACGAAGTCGCTCATGTCTGCCGTTTAATCCGAACACGCAGAACATGCAAACGTATGAGTTTCAAAGTAATGGAAAAACAAAAAATACAAAGCTGCACAATCGTAAGAGTTTTGTACGTTTAAACCTGCCAAAAATTTATTAATGACAGATCATTGATGAGTTCTCACGAGTTATTCATCAACAAATGCATTGCACACGTTTAGATTTAAATGTTATTCTCTACAGGGAAAAATTGAACTTTTTGTAGAAAAGTTATCGTCAATTATCTATGCATATAATACGTATTATTATATATTATTACATTTAATACATATAATATATAATCTTTTACAGTTATCCAAGATATAAAATTAGAAATTTTTAGAAATTAATCAATAGTAATTATGATGTCGAATCTCAATTGTAAAAGCCGTAGCAGTTTCTTGACTTTATTCAAAAACTCGAACAATGCATTTTAGGTGCTCGAAATTCAGGACGAAAAGTCAAGTGGTCTAAAATCAATTTCAACTTGAATCGGAGTTTGCTGTACGTACATAAAAGTATCTCCGACGTACGACCTCGCGAGTGGCACCAATCAATGAAGTGTCGTATTAAATCTTAAATCTACTCGACACACGCTTGATTCGCTGTAACGTTCTAGCTTTTCGTCGCGGATTCCGCAATTTTTCTCTTTCTCTGTTGTGTACACCTATAATAGTCGAGCAAATTTGCGAGCAACAACATTGCCTCTTCTTCGATTGTTTGCGCATTTCTTGCACATCCCACGAAGTAATCATACGCCGATTTCTTTTCCTTCATGTATTTCTCCAACGCAGACTTAAAGTAAAATAGGGCAAGTGTGTTCTCTATTACCGATATAAACTGCCTTGCAATAAGTATACATACGAATGTGTACATTAGCAACAAAAAAGGGGAAGGATCTCAAACCGAAGTCGAGACCGGTTTCTGTCTTATTCCCTTTAGCGACGGTAAGGATGATAATTGTTGCTGTTCGACGTAGATCCTGTGTAACCCCTTTGGGGCCCACCGCCGTAGTTGTCAGTTCCTGGCGCAGCAGGAACGCTCGATCCATATCTGGCGCCTGTATAGAATCGCACAAAAGAACATAGTACTATGTGCCAGGACGTGGCAAGAGGACGTAATCGGAGAAGGTGGTAACATAGAGCAGTGACTCGCGTTATTCTACAACTCAAGAGACTGATCCTCGATGAAAGAGCTGAACATGTGAAAAGCGGAGGAAGCTTAATTTTTTGCAATCCAAATCAACAGATGATCAAAAATAGATAAAATTTTAATAATGCTATCACCGTTGCGTTTAAATTCTTCAGAGATGCATTGGCCATCGATAAAAATCTGACAAAATTTAAGCATTAATAAATTATTAATAATAATTTAAATAATTTATTAATGGGCATGTATTCAAAATTTATTACACTTAATTCAAATAAAAGGATGTGATATTCATGCAATAATTCCAAGTTGTTAAAAGTATCCCTTATTATGAATACATAATAAGAGATATTAGCAATAAGGGATCGTAGCAACTCAGAGATACAATATTTTGAACGTGATATAGGATTGCAAAGAGTTAAGATTATTGGGATTAACTTAAAAAAAAGTTATAACAGGGAATGTTTGTGTTGTGTTGTGTTGTGTGTGTGTGTGTGTGTGTGTGTGTGTGTGTGTGTGTGTGTGGTGTGTGTGTGTGTTGTGTGTGTG